TAAAATTGTAAATCTGCAAAATTCAAGAACAAATTTACTGAATGCATTGATGTGCTGCCTTTTAATTCAACTTTAGTCCTTTAAGTTATTAATAACATTTTTGCTGAGGTTCAATTCCATCTGGAATTTCAAATGGAAATTTTAATTAAATTTAATTTTAATTGTAATTGGAATATCAATTTCACTTTTATAGTCATTTAATGAGCAATTCCTTAAAGATGGTCCTTTATTTTAGGCATAAATTAATTAAATTTGTGCCCTTTAGACATTTTCCGCACAGCATTGCCAACATTAAGAAATTCCAATTTCGAAAGCACTTGCAAGGCATTGAGAAATTAATTAGAAATCCGTTTTATGCTGTGAAGTCCTCAGGTGACATAATTGCTGCTAAATGAGCATTTAAGATTATAATTCAATTAATTTTCTTTTTATTTGTGATTATAAAATCAATGCCATAACTTTAAATTCCTTCAAAAGGATATAATGTAATAAGTAATTAAATAGTATGAGTTTATTCTAAAGAAAAGCTGACTAAGTGAAAAGCAGTGATAGTAGTTTTAGTTATTATCAATTACAGATCTTTTTTGAATGACAGAGCAATGATATTCTGTTGGGAGTGAAACTGTCAAAATTAAGTTCTTTTTTTTCCATAGCAAATAAATTCATTGGTCATTTATAATTGCAATTGCTTAATACTGTATTCACACGAGAATTTTGATTGTAATTTTGACTGTCATTTTGAATTATTCTTGATTTCTATAGCAAAGCCTCAAATACTACCTTAAAGCAATTACAGATAACTCAAAACCTGGCTTTAAGAAAACTGTTTCAGACTCCATGGTATATTAGATCAACAGACATACATAGAGATCTTAGGATAGACTCAGTAAAAAAATATATCAGAGACAGATTTCTAAAATTATTCACTAAAGTTGATACGCTAGTTAACCCCGCCCTAACAATCCTCAAGTCCACTTCTGGACTCTTAGGAAGATATGCTGATTTAAGGTCCGTCATCAACTTTTTTTTTAGCCTAGTTAAAGCTTAGTGTGGGGTAGAGATAAACCCCCCAGCCATTATAGAGTAAAAATGCGTAATAGCACTAACTCAAGAAGAAAAATCAAGAACTTCAAGAACTATAGCAAAACAATATGAATTCAAAAAGATTCGTATAATAATTTTAACATCTGAAACTAAAATTGAATTGTAATTTCTACGAAAACAAGTTGATTCTAACTTGGACAGTTCACCATAGTACAGTATTGTACAATACAAACTTATCCTATTGTGAATAGTTTTGAGGAATGAATGAAAATTTCATACAAAATAAAAGAAAACTGTCAATATTACAATACAAAGTAAATACCTTGTCGAAATAGTAGATCTGTTCCACGAGTTACTCATAGTAAAACTCAAGTAAAACACAAGTAAAGTTCAAACTGAGAGCGTAACACAAATAAAGTACCAAATTACTCTCTTAACATAGATTTTCATGGAACATAAATTATAAATTATAAATCATAAATTTGAATTCAAACCAAAACAGCAGATTCACACATCAACAAAAATTTTGCTTGAAAGAAAATGTAAAGTCTGTGTACCTAACCAAATTTCGACAGAGATGTTACGCTCTCTCAGATACTCTTAGGTACTTGAAAATTTGTTGGTGGAACGCAGTTGTGTATGTTACTCAGTGTTACTCAAAGTTTATAGGAGAAGCTCGTGAAACAGACCTAGTGTAAAAATTTGCTATATGCATAAAGCACGAATTATTTTTAATATTGCATGTTCACCAATTTCTGAACTTATTTCGGCGTTAAGGTCTGAAATATGACTACTTAAACCATTAAGTTATATGCTGTTCAACACTTTTCATACTTTAGCGTAACTATTTTTCTATCTGACAAACTAATCACAATCATACGTCGTGTGAATAGCTATTTTAGCTTATGAATTTCAAATGTCAATTAGAAGTTTTTGGTAGTTAAAATTACAATTAAAAGTCTCATGTGAATACAATATAAGTGATAATCCTTTTTGTTAGAATAAAAATTTAACTTAATAATAGGCATTTTCTTTTGTACGCACATCGAAAAGAACAACATAAAATGAGCATTACTTCTGATGGCAACTCTGGAAGAACTGGCAACAACTGGGAATATTGTTAGGCTTATATGCAAAACACGTGGTAAAATTCAAAATTTAAGTTTCGAAAAAGAATAATAATTCCTTGCATCTACGGATAAGAGTATATATTTTTAATTTATTTTCAGATGTTTTCAATAGAGTACAATTTTTTAATTTCAGTAAATTAACAAAAGTGGAGTATTATTTGTCAAATTTTTTTTGACAGTTAACTGAAAATGTTGTAAGTTCTTTTGAAAACCATTCACAATAAATGAATTTTTAGTCTTGGTAACCATGCGATTTGAGTTGCTTATTGGTTAAGCGGTTTCGAAAAAGTTGGACTAAATAAGCTAGCAGAGTTGTTGTTTCATATGTTATTCCTAAAATAAATGGTTGTTCTTTTGCGATATACTTAACAACTTCCTATTTGAAAATTTAATCATAATTGGGTCACATACTTAAGCATAAATACTTTAATATTATACAGTTATATTGACAGTACTAATATGTAATCATCAGCGAAATCGAAAAGGTAATCGGTCGGAGACCATTTCCCTCAAAGTGTAATCAAAGTAATATTTTAAATTAATTTATACTAAAAGCAAACATGAAGAGTTTTAAGAAAAAGTACCGCGTTATTTTATAATTCTGCTACAACATACAACCATAAAGCTATCAAACATCTATCAAACATCTAAGAAAAACCCTATTATTAAAATTTTAACCTAACTATTTACCCGGCCAAAAAAAACGTCGTGTGAATAGCTGTTTTTGCTTATAAATTTCATATGTCAATTTAAAGTTTTTGACAGCTAAAATTATAATCAAAACTCTCATGTGAACACAATATAGGTCATGAATGTTTTTTTTAGGAAAAAAGTTTAACTACATTGTCTTGCTATATTGTTATACGCCCCCATATATACAGGGTGTCTTATTACAACGTGGCATATATATTGAAACTGAATACTTGATCCAAGGAATTAGAAGAGCTGTAAGATAAAAATAAGCCATTGATATCAAGTCTTCCTTCAGATGGCATCATCAATATTAATTTAAATTTGCTTACGATATTATCGTATTGTGCACTAGAATGAGAATATTGTCAATGTAGTCGAAGTCATCTAAGAAATCGCAAACACCGCCTGTAAAGCCCCTTTGCTTATCAAAAGCTCGACAACATTAAGAATAATATTTAAAAGTGTTAGAGATAATGGAAAACCATATCTTACTCCACAGTTTACGTATATTGGTTTGCTTAATTATCCCTTTTGCAATACTATCATATAATTGCGGCTACCATAATAGTTTGTTTACGACAACAGATGACAGATTCAAATGACAATCCGTCTAGCAGAAGAGATGTGTCACTTATATGCTGAATGTGGAGCCATTCTCTAACACAGTTATGAAAAGTGTCAAGTCTAAAAAGAAATTAGGTAAGAATATTTCTATTCCCATCAAAATTTTTAGAATGAAGTATAACATTTAATTTAAAAATTTTGAATACACCGATAACGAAATTATTTTGTTTTCCTCTTCTTCTAAAAACTCACAGAATGATGGTATCCTTTAATCACCGGCAATAAGAATAAGCAATCAGAAACACATTTTACTGAATTTTAATAATACCAGGCCAGACATACGAATTGTCAGCTTATCAGAAAATCACATAGTGGGGTTCGTAATTTTTATATCATCGAACGCACAGTCTAAACCAAACAGCTCCCGTTTTGCAGAGCAATCCAATTTATTCAAAGCAATTTAAACTAAAATAGATGTTAGTTTAGCATATATAGGACCTTAGAGGAGCTTTGCGCATAATATAGGAAAGAATATTGCCTCGTTGTTGTTCAGTTATCGATTATATCAAATAATTAAAAGAATATAAAAAGAATTTTTGTTGTTGTTTAGTACTTTTCGAAACCTCTCTATCTGTTCTTAATGCAACACACTTTTCCCATCAATCCTTCAAGTTTTTTAACTCTCTTAGACAATGCACTATGTCAGAGTTTTTCACTGGAGTTACAACTTCCACATTTGAAGAGTTTTCTATCATCAGATCCCAATTCTTAATATTGAACGCAAGGTAGAGACACAGGAGAAGAAATCTGATCATCCTTATGACAACCATATAATTTGACATGCAATCAATGCAATGTCTTGGTTAAAAAAAAAGTTGGTTCCTTTGCAAATGAAGCAATTTTCTGATAATTACAAGGCAAAATTTATAGGATGCAATTCGTTAACTCAACTTTTGCCCGACTAAATGGACTTTCTCTTTTAATGGTTGCTTTCTCTTTTCAAAATTCACTGTTTTCATTATCTTTGAACCTACAGTTTTGAACGCTAAATTTATTTATTTTAACTGTTGTGGAAGCACTTTATCTAAGCAATTAAGTATATCGGTCGCGGTCTGTAAAAGTATTACAAAGATAGCTTTCTCATTCTTAAATTTTCATACAATGTGATTATTCTTAAAAGGACTACTGTATCCGCAATATCAATGGATACTACTTGGTATACTCTTTCAAATTTTCGATACCCCCGTCAATAGCGACAGATCTTGGTATTCTATGTCTTTAAGTAATATAATGCGACCGTCTTACTATAAACCCTGAGAAAAATTGTAAACCTAAGAAACTGTATGTAGTATTAATTGCATACAAGAAATTAATTAAATATAATTTCTTTTTGATACTAGATTGCGCTGAAGTATGTTTGGCGGATTCGTCGCAAATTAATTTAATTTTTCACAACATCAAAGCAAGCCACAAATTAAAATATTTTAATAACACAGTACGATATTATTATTATATTTCAGTATTCATATTTTTATTTCAGAAAAAAACATTGTTACAAATTTTTTGTACATAAAATATTTTAAAATTTGACAAGCTTAAAATTTATTTCTTATAAACTTACAAAATTTATTACGAATTTTTTAGATCCCTAAATTAATACGTAGCGTTATTACTATAACGATTCACGACGAAAAAAGTGAAAAAGAAACCGTGGCACTTAACCGTATTCACAGAGATATGGACGAAAATATTATTTTAGATGATCTTTCCTTTGCCAAAGAGAAAAGAAAACTGGGTATTAAACAGTTTCATGCCAAACACTACTTGTCTGCACTAAAACTATTCAGCGAGGCTATTTCCATCTGCCCGTATGTGCCGTCGTTTTACCTCAACCGCTCAGGCACCTTTGTTATGCTTAGCCGACATAAAGATGGGTTGAGAGATGCGCACAAAGCAATTAGCCTCGACCCATCTTTTAAGGCAGCTTACATACGGATATTAAATATCGACATTGCTTTGGGAGATACGGCTGCAGCAATGGAGACAATAAAAAATTTAGTGAATTTAGATCCAAAATGTGAGACTATAAGGAGTGCTACAGAAACTGTAAAGCATTTGGAAGAATTGGAGAAAGGCATAAAACTTAATTACGAGATCAAAGCTTACGACAATGTAATATTCTATTGCGATCTAGCACTATCATCTGCTCCGGCAGCCTTAAAGTTTTATGCCGCTAAATGCGAATGTCTACTAATGCTGCAAAGATTTAACGAGGCCGCTAGTATCATAGAGAATATTGACAGTATCGATGACCGCAATGCATATGTCTCCTATGTTTTTGGCCTTAACTCTTATTGTGCTGACAGGATTGAAGAAGCTAAGAAACACTTACTGCACTCCATAGTCTTAGACCCGGAATGTACAAAATCAAAGGAACTGTGTCATACTTGTACTGTGTTAATTAACTGCGTGAAGAATTATTACAAACAGCTCGATAAATTGCAGTATCAAGAAGCTTTAACTGTACTTGACAAGCTTCATGATGACATTAAACTGGCTCCAAAAACTAAATGCAGAATAATGAGCTTACGTGGGTATGCAATGCTTAAGAAAGGTGACTGGTTGGACGCCATTGCGGTAGCTAATAAAATTCTTTCAGCTAATCGTCAATGTGTCGAAGGACTTCTATTACTTGGTCGCTGTTATGAAAAACTGGAAAATTATGTCGACGCGGTGGGAAACTATCAAGCTGCGTTCGATATACGATCAACAGTGAAGACGAAACAACGTCTCCATCAAGCTAAGCAGAAGCTAGCTGCTTGGGAGAAAACAAGCTATTATGAAATATTAAATATTCAGCCCACTGCTACCCGAAAGGAAATAAAGTCTGCTTACAAGAAAATGGCTTTGAGTCATCATCCAGATCGCCATCCAAATAACAGTCCCGAAAAAATTAAAGTGGAAGAGATGAAATTTAGGCGCGCACATAAGGCATACGAAACGTTATACGATCCGATGAAGAGATGGACATATGATAAATATGGATATTCTTAAGAATATCTATGGTTAATTTAAATTATTATTTTTTTGTATGAGTTTTGTTTTGTGAGTGAAAGTTATAATTTAGCAATAATGGATAATGTGAAAGCTGTCAAGTGTCAAAAATAATTTCAGTTTCCCAAATTTTAATATGTACATTATATAATATTCTGAAAAGGTCTTTTAGACTTATAAATCTTTGTTTGTATACTTAATGTGATTAATTAATACAATCACTTAACATTGTTTTTGTGCAAATAAAGTTGCATTAAAACTAATTCTCTCTTAATTAGTTTAAAATATTTCAAATGATACAAATTAGACAAAACTCGCATCAGACGGATGCTTCAACTAACGCGAAAGCAATTTGATGCTATAGTGTCCGGGTCGATTGATCACCGCGTATGAGGCAGGCATGCAAACTGCTTTTTTGGAAGTTATAAGGCCTCGAATCATATTACTCATTCCCCCTCTAATGTTGTCGCCACATATTTCTGAACTAATCGGCCAAAGCTACCACCTTTAAAGCTAGAGACATAGCCGAGTTGATAGTTTTACTATGTAGATTCTTTTTTCCTTGAACGGGAAGTGTGACTTCTCAGAGAGATTCTATGCCCAAGAACAGTGTTTCGTCTGTGTAATACCAAAAGGGCAATTATTTGTATTGAAATAGACTTTGATACACAAAAAAATCACTTCAATCAAACCAAATTTATGTCTTATTAAAACATTTTTTTCTACTTTTTTAATCCATCCCGCCGAATTTAGGTAATTTAATAGGTCTTTCATCTTCACCGTTGAGCAGTCTGATAGACTATCAAAGAAGTATTTTCCTAAGAACCTAAGGCCGGGCATTCACATAGAAAATGTATTATTGTTTCTTTCTCCTGCTGGTATCCACAACTTCTGCAGTGAGGGTTATGGAGAATACACAGTTTCTCTGCGTCAGTTCCTACATACCAATGACCAGTAAGAACTGCAGTAAGCCTTGCAGTTTACGCAATCTCTTTTGATGAGTTCCAAGGTTTTATTTTTATAAGTGGGTCATGTTAAACTGGAAGTCGCACATGACCTAAGTGCTTTTCATCTGTTAATAGCAAGTTGCAGAAAGTAGAGGAAGATACTTCTTTAAATGCTTTCCAGGGTAATATAATCTAGTACCGCCAGTGACGCATCTAGGGAGGCACCAGAGCGGGCTAAACTGTCAGCTTTCTCGTTCTCTACGCTGTTTCTATTTCCAGGAACCCTGATGAGGATGATTTCAGCGAACTGATAATATAATATATAACGTCAAGTAATATGGTGCGCTAAAACTAAGACAAGACAATAGGTATAACAACACTTTCATTCGAAGACGGTTAGTATTATATATATATAAATACATATGTTGATATATATATATTTTTACACCAAAATTTTTGATATAATCACTTGTAAAAAAATTTGTTTGCTCACCGCAACCCATTTGAAGCTCTTAACATTCCAACATAGACCTGTTTAGCGTTGAGCAACATATAATTTACTTTCTCAATTAAGATATTTGCAGTCCCCTCGAAGTGGTCGATATTATAGCCCTTGTATAATATAAAATGATTCAGATAGAAGTTTCGATTTTATTGTTAATGTGTTATAGTACATTATTGTTATTATTATGAAAAAGGGATGGTACACCGCGACCTAAAAAATCTAGTCGGGTTAGAGTGTTTCTCCAAGTCCGACTTCTTTAATGAAAGACAGTATAAAGCCTATTTTTCCTCAACTTATATATAGTCGGATTAGAGTGTTTTTTCAAGTTCGATTTCCTTAATGAAAGATGGTATAGAGCCTATCTTTCCCATATGTGTTAAACATATAACATTACAGATTTTTAAGATATGTAATGTTGTTTTATAAATTTATGTCCAAAACTGACTACATTTTAAACTCATCTTCATTATATATAAAATAAAATTTTTAAGAAAGAATTAAACAAAAAAAAAACTAAATAAGAAAATTAATTGTACATTAAAGCTTCCGTTAATTTCCGTTTTCTTCACCATAAATATTCTCTTGTCTTTACATCTCCTGATTTATTGCTATTTTAATAGCAAAGGAGCATAATAAGTATATTTAACTATTCCCCTTACATGCATATGTACTCCTTTATATGCCAATATTTTAAAATCGGTATTTGGAACACAAAACGATATTGCAATTAATTGCTGCAAAGTACCTTAATGAGTTTATAATATTACCAACCCCCACTCTAATCGTTGTCATTAAAGAAATCACATAAATATTTTACGAGTAGTTAAATGTAAATTCGACACGGATTTAAGTGCGGCCCGAGAACCTCTTAACAGACCATTAAGTTCCTTTGCGAACGCAAACATTTTCTAAAACAAACTCTTTTGGAGCTGCTCTGCCCGTTCGTTACCATTCAAAATGGCTGACAAACGCTGAATATTTATTTCCGCCTTTTTTCCTTTGGGTGTCCTTGTTTACTGTAGCCGCACTGCAGCATTGGGGGATGAAGAGCAGCTAAGATTGCAAGACTGCAAAAGGTGTTCCAACGTTAAATTAAAGAATCATTAAGAAATAATTCTTAAGGTGCCATTTAAATTACAGTTACAAATGGCCATTAAAAGCTGCTCAAGGGTCGGAGTTGGCTTAAGCGTTAGAGCAAACACTTTAGCGGAAGTGCGCTGAAAAGTGGCACGTCTTTAGTAGTTGAAGTAAGGGAAAATGAATTTTCTTATGTTGGTAGTAAATAAAATGTAAAAGTCTATAAAACAGTGTAACGAATTTTATTAGGAAAAATTTTTTGCCTTAATAAAATAGTAAGTAAACACAAAACTTTTTCAAATACTAACAAAGGCTAGCAAGAAAAAACTCCATGTATCTTAAAAGGAAAATAAATACAAGGTTGCTTTGTTACACCCTTTATAAAATTTTGCCACGTTAATGAATTCTTCGTTAATCTTCAAAGGATTTTAAACTTTTCAAATCTTGTATTCAGTACATCATATTGCACTCTGAAAGTTTCATCAATTACACAAACAGCCATTGCTTAGTACTCTCAATAGTTATATAGTGCAGTGACTGTACCAGTACTGTGTTATGCAATAATAATATAAAATAATGAAATACCCAATAATTGACTATTGATCTGTGCCGTTTTTAGTAGGGTATATCAAATTTTTCAAATATATCAAATAACTGATTATAATATAGAACTACTCTGAAAGTAGTTCTATTATTTCCTAACATAGGACTAAAATTTATTTTTTAGTCATAACTTCATATTTTTATTATATTGCAGTATGTTGCTAGAGAAGTGCTGTTGGGTTTGCATCCATTCGATTTTTCGCCACGCTTTCTTTAAAGATCTTAATAAGAGAATTATATACCCCTATTGTTGTATTAAGTAATGCTTATGCCAAAGAGGTATAGGAGGACATTGTCAACTTCGTTTGGCTTTAGGTACAACTTGTTTGTTCGTCTTCTCATCGCTCCGAAGAAGCTATGAGCTCTTACACCACTCTTATCACAATCAAATAAGAAATATTGTGTATGCCTTCCTTACTTTGCTAATGCAGTTATTTCGAGGGCTTTCGCCATCTCTTTCGTATCTAAGTCTTCACCAAATAAACCTACGTGGCGTGCATACAGTCGCTGCTTTATTATATTATCCGGTTCCTCTTTGACCTTACTCGACTGATAAATATCTTTACTTCAGATGGTACTTCCAATCTCTTCTGTGATAATAGGCCCACGCCCATAATGCCGTAATGTGATATATTTTATATATAATATATATATATATAATATATATATATAATATATATATATAATATATATATATATATATGATATATAATTTAACTGTGACTGGCGAAAGAAATCTATGGTGCCGCGAACTTTGATGCTAGCTTGACATTTAATACTTCTTGGGTATTGAATAATGGTTGCATTCTATTTAACACTAACGTACCACACTTTGGTTGCCAATCCCGCCATCGCAAGTTGTAGTGAAGTACCTAATTTTGGGCTGCTTTTGCCAAGGCTTTTACCTGATCTTTCTGTAGACGTACAGACCTATACCAGGCGTAAAAGTGTCATACAGGGTATTGGAAATGTGAAGCTTTCGCCCCTGTATAATATATGCTGAAAAGTAAACTGTAGAGGATGAAGTACATATGACATAGAAGTATATTTTGTAGTATTTATATATCAAAAATCTTATAATTCCACATTTACTGTATTAAATGTATAATTATACAAATTTAAAATTAATTTCGAATAATTTCCACAAACTGTCATGGTAAAATTTCAAATTAAATTTAATTCTTGCTGCACTGCGCAGGTGACCCATAGCTCACCGTTTCGGGTCCAAAACTATTTTATTAAATTTTTTTCACAATTTTTAATAAATTCCAATTCAATTTTTTATTTTTGAAACAATACGAACGATTTTTGCAATATTAAAATATTTTATTGTTTTCACTCCCACATTTATACTTCTCTCTGACTGTTTGTCCGTCTGTCCCACGTTCTAATGTAGCTTACACATAACGGAACCGAAAAATACCGGAAATTGCGCCATTATGAAACACATTAGAATACTTATTCACATTTAATGACATTTGACAATGAAGATCCGTCCAGCACTCTCAACTGTCACTTAGCGTTCCGATATAATAAAAATGAAAACAACAACAACAACAACAACAAAACGGTAGAAAAACAAAAACAATAGCAAGAATAAAAACAAATAATAAAAAACCAAAATATTTGCGAGCAAATGAAATGTGACAGTTAACATTATGTCAAACGGAAATGACACTGGCAGGCGAACATCCATGAGCCATCATGGTTTGAAAAATGATTGTTATTTAACCGTCGGGTGGCACATGGCAGTTGTGCTTTGATGATGTCCTGCGGCGTAGTTACATCAATATTTATTACGCACATTTCACTTCAAAATCAAATTAAATCAATTTTAAATAAAAACATAAATTATGGGAAATATTTGCATTTGTTAAGGTTAATATTGCCAAAAATGTTTATATTCTGTGAAATTATTTTCATAATTGAAATTTTAAATTCAAAATATTTAATCGAAAAATTGAAAATTATTTGTGTTTAAAATAGTATCTGTGAAATCAGTAAAAGATACGTTATCAAAGGTCTTTTCTTTTGTAAGCATATTACAAAAGAACAACTGCTTATTTTAAGAATAACATATGAAACAACAACACTACTGGCTTATTTAGTCCAACTTTTTTGAAAGCGCTTAACTAAAAGCAACTCAAATCACATGATTGCCAAGACTAAAAATTCATCTATTGTGAACGATTTTTGCAAGTACACACGAAATTTCCAGTTATCTATCAACGAATGATTTCGTTAATTATTCGTATTTCGTGTCGTCATTGTTCGTAACAAATACGTTATTTTTTCTATTTATTATTTTACTGTTAAAAGGCACTAAAAATTATATTTTATTCACAATCATGTAAAAAATAATATTCTCATCAATAATTACAAAGAATTATTATTATTATTATTAAGAATTATTATTCATTTTCAAAATTCTACTTTAACTTTTATTAAGTGGATATATACACTTAAAGCCTAATAAAATCTCCATTTTGTCCAGAGTTGCCATCGAAGTAGTACTTATTTTACTTGTTCTTTTGCGACATGCTTACAAAAGAAAAGGCCTCATATGAAATATACATATACTTAAGTTATGAGTCGACGGACGACATTGTGTCACAGTCGCTATTTTAATTATATTTATTTATATATTAATTTAAGATTCACTAATCATACTGTAAAAATGAAAATAAAATGAAAATAAATATACATACATATTTACGTTATGAAAATATCTTCACATCAAAGAATTTGAAAGAGCAAAGAACCTTAATGTTAGTAATCAATTAGTAATTAATTAGTATTCTTAGTAATTAAACGAAGTGACATGTCAACTGTACTCCACTGTCTTCTACAATATAACTAAGTTTTGTAGTATGTTCTCAATGAATAGATAACAAAGTATAAATTAGTAAGTAAAGAAACATCTTTTTATTCAATGACCAGACTACAATACTTACAAAACTTACTAAGAAGACTTTCCAAAAAGTAAAAAAATAAAACTCCCTCTAATTAATTTTAATAATATAAGACAGTTATAATGGATAACTACAAGAGACAAAGATACATAAGATTCTCAGAAGCAATCCAATGCCGAAGAGAATCCGTTAAAAATTAAATTGCTATCATTTCACAATCAACTTTTTCGGCTGAGAGCACCGTGTGGCTTCTGACTATGTAAAACCTTAACAGACTTCTCAGCAGATCTTCTTTCAATAAAATTGGGAAGCGAAAAACCGATTCGCTGCAAGGTATGAAGGTCACTCCGAAAATCGACTCTACAAGTAAATTGTATTAAAAGAGGAATAGGTTGAGAAAAAACTAGATTCAAAAGAATAAAAAAAGATTTCAAAAATGGTTAGCTTTAATAATGAATCTGGTCAATAAACTATTTCGAAAATGCGAACTTAATTGTTGATTGAGTACTCCATACATGCACTACAAACTTAAATAAACTGCGTCATTTGTTGCAACATTTATTGTGAACACTTAATGTAAAAACCTATTGTGAACAGCTGATATTAAAAGCTATTGTGAACAGCTTACAGTTAAAAACATAGTTTTTTGACAACTGTCATACAAAACTTTGTGTAAGATGAACAAGCCGGGTTGTTCAAAAGATTTTAAACAATCCGAAAAATCTGTTGTAGAAATGTCAACGTATGTATATTTGTGAATATTTCTCATAAAACAAACTTTAATCATATTATATGTGTATTAATTGAATGTAGAAGTAAAAAGGTACCTAATGCTGGTGGCAATGCAAACCAATATAGCGCATCCAATAATCGCTCATTGGAATCTAAGTACGTATTTCTATGATATATTTAATATACTAAACCACAATTTTTACAATGAGATTTCAAGAAATAATATAACACGAGTAGAATTTATAATATATTTCACATTTTCATTCAAATCTAATTTACTATTTTAACGAAGATACTGGCAGGAATGGGGAAGCTATGTTTCCAAATATTATGATAACATATTAACTAAAATTGTGAAGCATATGCAGGATCGATATAGAGGTGGCATAAATCTAAAATTGAGTTTACAAGAAATTCTAACTGAAACCGATCAATTAGATATTGACAATTCTGTTATGGAGGTAAAAACTTACTGGTTAATGCATATTGGTTAATGATTACATATTATTTCTAATACAGTGGCTAGCAAGTGAGGCTCTCGTAAAACACCCCAAAATTGATATAAGCGCTGACAAGAAAAAGTTCTCCTTTAAGCCAACCTACAATGTACGTGATGGTAATTCGCTAATGCATTTATTAATGTGGCATCGTACTAAAGGTTTGGGTGGAGTTCTTTTGGATGATGTCAAGGAGTCATTGCCAAACATTAATATGGTTCTTAGGGCATATGCGAAATATATAATAATCGTAACTCGTCCCATTGAGAAGAAAAAATTCCTTTTCTTCAACGATCGCTTTGCTGATGATATGAGTGTAAATGTTTTATTTTGATCAATAACTGATATTGAGAATATATAATTTATTTATTTGTGCGACTTTAAAAAGGTTGACGAAGGTATTCAGAAGATGTGGCGTAGGATGAATAATGATGGCATCGAAAACTTACAAACTGATACAAATGTAGAAGAGGCGGGTGAGCACAGACATTTATTGTACTTAATGAAAATTACTTTCTCGTTTAGTACTAATCGCTTATAATTTTTTACAGGTATTTCTTGTTTAGGAGGTTCAATCCAAAAAACGCATGCCGAAATGAAAAGAAAAACCCCTGCCAAAACATATCAGTGGAAGAAACGTGTTGTTAATGGGCATGTCCAAGATATTTTAGAAACATATAAAGACGACACTATTGACGAAAAAGGTATACAACATTGTAGTTCTCTTTAAACTATTATAGTAGAACAGAACATTCTTGAAATTAATTTGAATTAATTGAACATTAAATGTCTTTTGTATTTCAGTAATGGAATTGGAAAATATTCCCACAGGTTAAACTCCAGATATACAATCAAATACACGAACCTATTTAGATAAGCAGAGGATTATTCAAGTGTCTATAAGAATAATAAATTAATTTTACTAAAACTTATTCTGTATAAATTATGCTAAATCAACAAACAATAAAGGTTTAATATCGACCTTTGAAAATATAGAGTAAAATACAATAATCATAAGAATATTCTCTTTCTTTTTAAAATTGTCTAAATTCATATTGAAAGAAGATATATACCTAATGAAGTACGGGGGCAACGTATTCTTGATAATAAATCGAATATGTATATGAAAGGAATTACTGGCTGAAAAATGATAAGTAAGATCTCATATAGCAAATTCTATGATTACCTACTGAAGCAAATAAGTCCATGCTAGAATGATCGTCATTCGGAAGCTTCACCCGCCTTTTAAAATATAACACTTTTTAATTAATATCATTTATTCATTACAATCAATTTATAAACTGCATTATATTGTGACAATATATATATTTATATATATACTACTGTAATAATTATGTGTAATTTTAGATGTTGAGTGTTAAATATTTTAAAGTGCAACATTGTAATAGAGAAACGCTAGTACTTTCTATTAGGCAATTACGATACCTTGCTATCGATTATTTATCTATTATATATTAGATTATCTTGAACAAAACTCTCAGAGTGATCACTTTTATATATGATTATCAATATACACTTTCTAAAAATTTTATATAACAAACGTATTTATTGAATACATTCCTCAGAACAAATAATATAAAAAGCAATTTAATAAATAAAATCAATACTGAATTTATACATTTATAAAGTAAGTGTCTTCAACCATTTTTTCTCCTATTATTTTTGATGAATACTCTGGACTCATATGAATTTACCAACTTTCATTGCCAATTTTATGAATGCTATTTTCATTTATTATACTGGGCGGGTTTATAATTACCTGACTTCACAACAGGTGGGGACGCCAGAAGGAAATTAATTATATTTTGTATATCTAGCAAGTTTTAAACTACCTGCAGCTATAAAAGTTTCGACTTGTGCCTTGAATAATGTACCTTGAATATCATTCAGTAACAAAATTCATCCATTTAAAAGAAATTAGCAAGGACATAATCAAATTGAAAATGGATTCTATTCAAGGCATACTTGCACCATCGATAACAACAATAAAATATTGGAAAGCTAAATTTAAACCTAGTCGTATGAGTACCATATGTCTTATAAAGCGCGTCCGGGTCTTCCAAAAGAAATCGCAACTGAAAAAAAACATTGAAATAATTCACGATATTGTGTTAAATATTCCGAAATTTGAATTGCGTGAAATAACAGATAACAAAGATGACAAACATATCATATGAATATGTATCAAATATTTTACATGAATATTCGGGTATGTTAAAGCTTTCAGCAAGATAGGTACCGCGTTTGTTCACAATTGCCCAGAAACGACGACGACTTCGTCATTCAAAACATTATTTGAAAATGTTTATGTACAATCTAGCTGACTGTGTGCGTCGAGTAGTGACAATTGATGAAACATAGATCCAATACTTTAAACCTGACGGATAACAACAAGCTATAGAATTGGTAAAGCCCGGGTGTGGTGCTACCAAAAGACCACAAACTGAACAATAGGCTGGAAAATTTGGAAAAAGAAAAAATAATGATATCAAATTACTATTGTATATTATTGGATTGATGGAATGAGAAAATCAAGAAAAACTACCAAATTTGTCAAAGAAAAAAATTTTGTTTTTCAGGATAATGCACCTGCTCAGACGTCTATGAAAACCATGGCAAAAAAAATGAATTTCTGTACACATTGCTTCTTCACCCATCGTATTTTCCAGATTTATATCCTAGTAACTATCATCTGTTTCCAAAAAATGACTCCAGTTAAAGAGATGTGCATCAAATGATGAAGTTGAATGAAAAACTGAAATATATTTTGAAGCTCTTAATATATCGTATTATTTAAAAGCTATCCAAATGTTGAAAGATGGTTGGAATCGGTGTATCGAGCTTAAAGGGAACTATATTATAGCATAAAATATAATTTTTTACAAAAATGCGTTTCTATTACTTAGGTCGAGTATTTATCAATCCATGTTGTATGAAGTACAAAAAAAAAATTTATTATAATAAAAAGCACCATATATGTGAAGGAACAGAAACTTTAGAAATTTTAGAATTTTTAAATGTTAATTTTTTTTCCTGAATATGAAACTATTGAAAAGTGAGAAAGGTTCGAATAGAAATGTAAAAACAACAACAAAAATTTTAGTTAATTTGTTAAAATTTACCTGACCTTACAGGGCTGTTTTTTGAGTATAAGCAAATACTTATTATCAATGATCTTAGAAAATATTTGAAAATTCGAACTATAAACTAATTAAAAAATTCGAATATTTTCTAAGACCAATGATGATGAGTACTTGATGAGTACCACAGAATTTTACCCCCTTTAGAATTTTTGTCTTCAACTGTTGTCCATACGAAAAGAATACAAACGTTTTAATATTGCAGAAATAAAAAAAAATTATCCGTTTAAGGAGTTATGATAAACCCATCCACAAAATTCCATTACAAAATTCATGTTTGTTTATAGCAACTCAGACACGGTAAAGTTGCTACAACAATTTGCATTTTTATTGATTAAACAATGTCTGCAATCGTGGAATTTCAGAAATATTTTTAATGCCAAAAAGTTCTTGAAATGGAAACTGATAAACTCGGCGAATTAAATCAAAAAATTGCAGAAATTAAGAAACGAATTTTACTTGCTGGTAGGCGTGACTCCATAAAAAATAACTTTAATACTTTTAGTTAATTAATTAAAATTATTTCCTTTTTAGAGGGACAGAAAACCGCGAATACTGCGGAATGGCAAAAGCAGAACCGTTTGAACAATGAAACCATTTCTACGATTAAAAAGGATATAAAGGAACTCACAGTAAAATGTGGACGCTTACGAAATCCACTACAACGTTCTGTTATTATCAGAGAGACAAACAGTTTCGATCAACAGAAGACAATCGCCACACCCACAATAGTTGTGGGTAATGTTAATTATCCGATTGGTGCCAAGTGTGCAGATGATGCCATTTTTCTCACAGACCTAAAACTGACTGAACATCGTAAACAATTAGACTTGCTGAGACATCGTTTTCAAAATAGAAGACGACACTTCAATAAACTAATCATAGAGTACCGAGCACTGAAGGCCAACAGAGATGCACAAAATCAGAATTTAGGCGAAAAGCCACCAGAAACACTAGAAGAGGATGCTAATCGAAGGGTTAGTATTAGAACCGCAATCTTTAATAAGTTTAACTTATAATGTATGTTTTTCTGAGTTCAGTTAGTTTGTAAGTTGGAAAATGAAATACACCGCACTAAAGTACAATGGATGGAAGCCGAACATATACGCAAAAAGTATCGTTCCATTCAGTCTTCACTCAATAATGACTCAGAACGTTTTGAGCGCAGTTTGCGTGAACTTGAAATAAAATTATCCGAACAACAAACAGAAATCAATCAATTGCAGGTAAGTTCTGAGCCAGGAAAAATAAAAAACAGTAACTAATCCCACTTATCTTCTCAACTCAGCAAGTGCACAGTGAGGCTATGGAAATGCGTGATTCGGCCAAAGTCATACTGCAACGCCAAGAGCAGAACGCCAACTTATCACAGAAGGCGCGAGAACGTCAAGCCGTAGAGTTTCGTAAACAAGTGGAACTGCGTAAAATGGAGCTTGAACGTATCGGTAGAAAACTCTTCTTTGAGGGTAAGACTTTGGTACACCAGGATAGCATTAGCTCTAGTACCGGCGAACAACTTACTGGCAAAAGTGAAAAAGAAGAAGATCCCAATTCACAGCTTGAAAGTGTCACAGCAAATATGGAAAATTTATTCAAGCATTTAATGGAGGTTACCGGTGCAACATCGCCTACAGAAGTGTTGGCACGTTTTGAGTCACAGAAAGTATCTGCTACACGTCTAACTTATCTACGTAATGCGGCTGAAGCTGAAAAAGCTGAATTGGAGGCACAGCGAGAGAGTTTGACTAGAGAATTGGAGGCTTCTAAATTTACAGAAGTTAAGGAAACGGAAGTGTAAGTAAGAGCAATAAAAGTAAGATAAGCAAACAATCTCATTTGTTTTGAAATAGCTCTCAGGAGGTTGTAGAGAATATTAAGAATAAAATAGCGAGTTTGGAAGAGGACCAAAAGAAAAGCAAAGAAGATATAGAGAAAACAATGTCAATGCTACAGTATATAAAGGATCATTTATGCGAAATCATCTATAAATTACAAGAAGTCGATGAGAGTAATATTGTTTTAACTGAGAAAAATGTAGACATACCGCTCGAAAATGTACCCAAATATTTGGCTGATGAAGCGGAGGATACTGATTTTATTAATGTAAGTATTAAAATGGCACTAATTTTTTCGTATATTAAATTAAATAAAATTTTGGAATTAAGTAAATATACATAAATGAATAAAAAGTCATTAAATTATATTGAAAGTATCGGTATATATCTAAAAAGTATCGGTACTTTATTTTTTGGTTACAATTTTATCTAGAAGTCAGCAAGGTAACCTAAAACTTTAAATATATACTCTAAAATTGATCGCTACAACACTTATTGGTTGTTTAAAAGTTATTAATTTTACTACAATTTAATGCACATAAATAAATTTAAATATCTTGACCCATAGTTAAGTACTTTGTGGACATCTTAATATATTGTAAGACTTTTCATTTGCTGATTTCTATATTTTACAAAATTTCAGATACTCAAATTGAAGCTGCAATTCTGCAAGGAGCTTGGTAAACAGCACGAAGCAGATACTTCCGAGTCATTGCAACTAGAAATAGAGGTAAGTCTCACATAATCAGACATCAGGATAATTATTTGAGTAATAGTCGGAAACTTAAATAAATAAATAATGAAAAAATTGATACTTAATTATAAAACAACAGTTGCCCTTAACTTTACAAGGTCATCAATTGATTTTTTCCATTAAGTTTTCAAGAGTATATTAAATTATTTTTATACTCCCTCCATCTCCTTCCATTTTTAATCTTTAAACGCAACTACCGGAACCGTAGAATTACAAAACTAACTGACATCCAGGTAACTATAATGGCACTCATATTCTACCAGGCGACATCCAAACTGGTATGAAAGTGCATTGACTAGCTGAACATGTTCGGCTGAAATAATCAGATGCACTTAATACGGATTCCGAGGAATGCTGGTGTCTAAGGCAATGAAATGGCAGACAAACTCTTAAGAAGAAAAGTGGCTTCAATAATGAAAGATCCAGAACCTTCTGCGGTATGCGCAAAGGATCTGAATCCATTCTTATAAACGACAGAAGAAGAAACAAGAGAACTCTATTGGAAAAGACTACCAAGGCTATCATAATCTAAAATGGATTACATAGAACAAAGAAAGAATAACCTGAGAATTATTACGAGATTACTAACCGATTACTGTATATTGAATAATCACCTAACAAAAATAGGAATCCAATCCAACTCAAACTGCAAATACTGTAGAGAAGAGACAGAAACCATATACCATGTGCTATGGGGTACCCGGCACTGATGCCGGATACTCCATAGATAATTTGTTTATGTTTAGCTGTAGTTTATGCTTTTTCTATCATATTGCTCAATAGTTCTATACATTAATAAGCATGGAATAAGAAGATCTTTAAAAAAAATGTAGATATTACAGTTAAATTTAACTTCTAAAATTAAAGTTGGGTTAATAATCTAAAACGTGACTCTGCTCTTCATATTGGACAAAGTTTGACTTCAAACCTCGACATTTCTAGTCCAAAGGACGAAACCTGAATAATTATATAAAAAATTTGTTTCCTAAATTTACTGATTACGGGTATTTAGCAATACTTTATACACCACATAGCTGATACAAAAAGTCAGTTATTAAGAAATAAATTATTTCTTATAAATCCTTAAAGTTCAAAGTTTTCTATTAAAAATAGTTAATTTCTCTATGTTTGGCTTTAAAAATAAATTTATATTATCTATATAATATGTTCTTTCAGGAGGATGAACTCTTAATGCAATCAGAACCACCAAAATCACCTTTACTACAAGAAGGTGAAAAACCACAGCCGATACCAATGTGTTATTTCAATTTGTTGGCTGGACGAGCACAGCGCGCAGCAGGCACTGTATCCACGTCACCGGAACAAGTGCCCGCAGCTGGTACTTAACAAAATTAATAGCATTCCAATTTCGTCACCTTACTTTTGGAAAATTTTTTTCTTTTTTTTAGCTGCAGGTAATGATGAAGAAGCCGAAGTGCCATCCCGCAATTATCTTAAACGTCAGTCTGCACTTTTAGTAGAGTCAAAATCTAGACGTAAACCTTATCGATCCACACCAGCGACGAAGAGAAAATAAGACAACTATGTATAATATTGAAATATAAGTATCGATATTTTAAAAATTTCGACTAAATAAATATTATTATCTTAAATGATTGTAGATTTTAGAAGAAATATGAGATCAGATTTAGAAATTTTACCAACCTATAAAAATGTGAACAACTATTAGAAGCTTTCTAAGCAAAAACCTGAGAATGCTTTTCAAGTTTCGAAAATTTGGTTAAATTGTGATAGTATAAAATAAGCATAAAATGAGCTTTGCATTCGCAATTCTGGCAGTCCCTTTTGAGTTTTGAAAATATAGTATAATTGCGACACCATATTTAGAATGTGTACTTGGAAGAGGATAATATGTTACAGTTTGACATTTAACATAAAAGAATATGTAATTCTAAGCATTCTCCATCAGAAGGAATGATATTTTCCATCTTTTTGCTAACTCATGTAATTCTTACCAAATCAATTGTGATCTGTGCAGCTCTGCCGTAATAGTTTCATCAGATTTCATGACGATGACACCCTTCTGATTTGATCAAATATAGAGAAACTCTTTGAGGCCATGTTATGTAGAGTGTCGTGGGTTCATCATGAGCAAACTTGTTGTTTTCAATGCAAATTAAGAGTGAGAGAAAAACTAATATTCGGTTCAAGTACGGTCCTAACGGCGCTATTTGTGCCTCGTCACTTAGGCAAAACAATGTTATTCCTATTTTCCTCTAAGCCCAAAAAAGACAATTTTGACATCATTTCTTATTTATTCTCAAAAAACAGAATAATTAATTGAATAAATTATTAAATTGATATGTGAAATAAATATTTTCAACCTGGGAAAAATACCTATAAAAAATATCTAACAAAAATATTTACGTAAAATTAAATATTTAAAATTGACCTCATTTTCTTTTCTAATGCATATAAAATCTTTTAATCCAAAATACTTAATACTTAATATTAAGTATATTAATAATATTAACATCAATATATATGTTATATTAATATATAGTCTTAATAAACCTAATACTAGTATATTATTTTTTTTTAATTTAAAGTTAGTTTATTCAAATCATATTGATTTTTTTTAAGCTTTTATGCATAAATATCTTAACACATATCATTAAAAATTTTCTCGTATCTTTCCATTCTACTCACTCCATATTTTCTGACTTAACATCTAAAACTTCCGAGCAATAATATTTGTCTTACCTTTGTAAGGAATTTCCCTTAAAACTATAACTTTATTTAATTTTAAGCTCAATTAATTTAAATGAGAATAGTTCTATCGGTATTTAACAATAACTTTTTCTATTCAGAAATGTTTATAACCCCAAATAAATGAGAAAAAAACAATCGTTTTTATGTAACCCTAAAAGCTTGCCCATAATATTCCATGAATACGTTATCCCAAAAGTATACTTCTAAAGTTTAATTTTCATTTTTGAATAAAATATCTTTTCTGTTTTTATTAAAGTTTTTTTTGTATGTTTAATTTCAACGTTTCCCTATGGCACCAAATTGAAATTTTTGTTGCCAGTCTTAACGACCATCACTCGACTATCACTCGACCATCACTTGAAAGTCACTCAGGCATCAACTGCTTTTCGCTATGTTCTGCACTAATCATGTCATGAAGTAAACAAAAATGCAAAAATGAATGAATGGATGGATGGATGGAAGAAGGAAAATATGCCCCTGACATTATGAAAGAGGCTATATTATTTTCATTCCTGTTTATGTGCATTAACTTCACATTTTTATTAAATAAATATTTATATTAAAAAAATAAAAATAAATGCATAATACTAGAGGAAGAATAATAATATGAGATTGTAAAGAACGAAATAAGCAACAGTCTCATTACACGGGATTAAAAATAAAAATTTGGAATATTATATTAAGAAAATAACATCTGTCTGTCTGTGATATCAGCATTCAAACTAATATATGTATATACACTTAATAACTCATATAAATTAGCATATAAAAAAATCAATAATTATTAATTATTCTTACTTATCTTAGTGGTAACATAATTGTAAAACTTAATTATGAGAAAGAAAGAAGAGGGTTTATATGACAGTTGCGTGATATGCCAGCATAAGATTAAAAGGTGCAGCGATAGCTTATTCACGAAAAAAGAGATAGGGAGAAGAGTCGGGGACTAGAACTTTATACTCATAAGCCCATTACTTTCACTCCAGTGGAAATATACACAATTGATGAAAGTGCTTATTTCAGTCTTAAACATATTTAGCAAAACCATAGAATAAACTTCTTGACTGATAGCCAGAGAGCTATCAAAATACTCATAAAGCAATACGAAATGTAGCGACAGATTATCTTATAATTCAAAACAATACCAACAATATTTTACTACTTTTGGAAATGGGAGAAAAGCAAAGAGAAGTATCATACTCCAAGACACTAATGGAACAACTTCATAATTAAAGTTGATAAAATAACAAGTTAATTTTAACAGGACATTGTTGGTTATATCATAATCTAAGTTAAATATAAATCAGTTAAAATAAAGCTGCAGACTTAATAAAGAGAAAACGAAGATTGTGAAGGATATAGTGGAAAGATATCCTGTACTGATACATTAACGAGAATACTACTTAGATATACAGACAACAACTGTTAGTGAATAAAAACTCAGTAGGATGTTCCAAAAACTTCCTGTTACTGAAAAATAAGACTAAGGAAGCCATATTAAGTTCGAGAAATGATCATAATAGATCACGGGTCCCCGTAACGATATAATATAACACACTTTCAAAAAAAAAATATTTAAAATCATAATAATATTGTACAAATAAGAGAATCATATTTCTATACAAACATACCAACAAAACATAGATACGTATTAACAATTATTAGTATTATTGCTTTATTATCATTTTTTTATTATATATTAAACATTTATATCAACAATTCAATGAAAAAGATTTTACTTAAATTCCACTAAACAGTGCCGCGCATAAGACTTCTCTAATTAAAATGTTACATACTTATATACTTGTGTGCTTATTCTTCAATTTTTGTATGCAATGCATGCCAGGGCCAGCCAGGACCAAATGTCATGTTAGCATATAATTTGTTAATGTTTACTTGACCACCCTTAATTGCATGCTAAGTATTTTTGCATATGACTGGAATATTTAATTGCCTTCATATCCTTTCTGTTTGTCCATGCATATTTGTGCATGTAACTCCATTGCCGTCAAGACTTTATGCAAACATCAAATATTTAAGGAAGATTTTCAGTTGATGTTTTGCGAAACTCTTGTTTCCTTTGCATTACGGAAGTAATGAATAGAATTTTTAAAATAATTTAAGTAAATTCAAATTACTAAAATATTGTACTTATTAAGAATACTTAACAGTAACATTTGTTTACTAACAGTAATGACAAAATGTTAGGAACGTTCGAGAGAAAAATCTGGATCTAGAGTCCCTAACGTGTTAACAACGCATATCGAGTTATGTGAAACTATGATGTAAATGGACTATATCCAACATTGACACAGTTAAGCGCATAAAAGCACAACAGCTCTTCTGGCTTGGTCATGTCATACAAATAGAAAGATGTTTGATTCAGTACGCGCTTGTGAAAAACGCGATACAGCACGTCCGGTTCATCGGTGAGAGAGCCGGGAGACCACTAATATGAAGGCACTCTGTGTTACCAACTAACGACCGCAAGCCGCTAATCGGGCTGACTGGCTGACGCTACTAGCTACGGGCAAGGGCACTTAACGTCTGTAAGTAAGTAAGTATCTTTACAATAGAATTTAATTCTATTTAATAGGGATTCTTGAAAAGAATGAGGTGTTAAAACGGCAAATAATAACTTATTACCAATGAGATAGAAGGTATCTGAAGGTACAAACCAACCAATATGTTTTATAAAAAATCATCGTTATTGAATTAGTGTATTATATAAATTAGATAAGATTAAATAAATCACTTTATTGGTTTATATTACTACTACATATATATTAATATTAAAAGAGGCAAAATATCGCCATAAGAAAACTGGTTAACGCCCCATGGTACGTAAGAGGAGCGGATATCCACAGAGATCTGAGAGTCTATTCAATCGAAAAATATATTAAAGATCGTGCACTGAAACTGTTCAATATAATTGACAATCAAAATAATCCAACACTCAGCAACCTAAAAATACAGCGAAATCTGATAAACACAGGTAGATAAAAAGACATCCGATCCATCCCCGTATTCAGATATTCTTAGTGTAACTTAAAACACAGATATAATAGAGTTAAGTTGATGAATCACCAACTCAGACATCTGCATAACATATCATATAACAAATATATAAATATATATAAATGTTTGTATATTGTAAGTAAGAGATTAAGAAACACGTGATGAAATGATATAAATCTTTTGTAAAACAATATTTTACATTGCCTGTATAAGCTTTCAAACTTTTTCTTATATACTAACCAGCATTTCTTTGACAACACTTAACAGAAGAATTTGAAGTGCCAACAAATAATCCAATATATCACAGTAACTGCACTGCGGAAGATTCTTAAGATAAAACATATATCTGCAGATATGTAAATTTGCTTTGAAAAAAGATCCATGTGTAGTTAGCAGAAGGTCTGATCCGAATATGGTTAGTATAGAAACGTCTGGAACTATTATGTTTTTATTTTATATTTTTATTTAATTTTTTTTAGTTACAATATAATTAAACAATCTGTAGCAAAACGTTATTCTGCACAGAAGAAGTCAAGCACCACTCCTTATTATGCATTGCACAATCATGACGGTTAGGGATCATTTCTTTTTGTTATCTTTTAAGCCCTGATGATGAAGTTAATACGAATATTTACCGTAAAAGGGTGTGAGAAGTTGCTTTGGTGTCATGGACAACAAAATTTTTCAGTAAGATAAAATGAATGGGTCAATAAATTTCAGTTCCGTGAACCAAAGCGCGCAAAGACGAATCACAATTGAGAGACAATGTACCGCACTTCACTTACA